ATTATTTTAATGAAAGTCACTTAGAAAAATTTCTAGGAATCTAGATTTGCATTCCAGCAGAGAGGTTAAAGACCTATTAAAAAATCTGGAATTCCACAAATATTGATGTCAAAGCCCCAACTTGGTCTTGATCTTATAAATCACAGTTAACAAATGTCTTATACGAAAGAATGAAAGATCTTTTTAATAGTTCAACATTTGTTATACACAAATATATATATTTATCCCTGCATTCAAGATATTAGTTTCCACTACCTTGTATTTTAATATCATTCATTCACTTGTTCATTCATTCACTTATTCAGTGCCTTTGTGCCAGGGACTATGTTAAGAACTACAAAGAACATATGTAATATGGTCCTCACAGTGCTCAATGGAGAAGGCAGTAGGCTGACACACGTAAATAATTAAAATATAAATGCTGTTAAAGCAGTATCCAACAGACTACAGAGCACATGGGCAGAACAATTCTCTATATGCTTTACTTAATGATATTTAATGAATCACAAAAACACAATATCAACTTAACATATGCTTTATTATGCTCTTATTTCTGAAACAATTTCTGAAAATGGGGGGAAAGAGGATGTAATTATCATGATAATTTAAAAAAATGCATTAGTATATCAACATATTACCAAAACCAGAAATCTACCTAAATATCTAGTTAATATCCTCTTATCTAATTCCAAATCAATAATCACTGTGAGAGGTCACTCAATCCATTGAAGTCAAAATAATGAAGAGAATTTTACCTTGCATAGTAAGAAATGTTTCTGGGTTTATGGGAACTGTTCTGTGTCCCATGTCTTTGGGCCCTCCTGCCCACCAAACCACCTTCTTCCATCCATCCTCAGGTGGGATAACAAGTAAAGCAAATGCAACAACTCAGGGAAACATCACAGTGGAGAATGAATTAGCTATGCCACCTAAAATAAACCTGAAGTGAGTATATAAACCACCCATAAATTCCTCTTCCATCAATAAAGCAAAGAAAGTGGGAAAACGTGTTTTGAATAGTTACATAATTTTCATTATTTCCAAATCCTTAAACTTAACAGCACTTGAATGATTTATGTTTCCCTTCAAGTATATGTTTAACGATGGCCTCAGGAACTTTTGGTCATTCCTTGAATACCACTATTCCAGTTCTTTTCAAGTATTACTTCATCTTCCACCCATAGAGCTTAGATGATCTCTAGTGAAGGTGGTACATAACAAAGTGTAGAGACTTAAGGCAGTACTATTCAAAATGCAGGACTGTGATTTAGTTGTTTCTGTTTGGCCAAGAGATAAGGCAAGTTAATTATCAAGGTTTTCTCAATGAAGAAAGCACAAGGTTGATTTACATTTTGGCACATACTCCTTATTTACCAACACATGTTTTCGGAAAGACCATACATATTATCACTGCCCTAAGACAAATAAATGTCAAATAACAAGAAAAGAAAAAACAGAAAGTAAGGAATACAGCAAAGATTAGAAGCAGTAGCAAATGTAAAAAAAGGATTGGGGGAAATAGATTAATAAGCAACAACCCAACTCTAGATGGATTAGTAGCAACAAAGAAACACAATAACACACTTCCTGGGATTTTCTGTCACAGTAGGTAGACCACAAACTGTAGTATCTTAAAGTAGAGCTACACAAAATGCAGGACATTTTCCTTGACTAAGATACTGGATTCTGGCAAACATTTGTAGTTATCCAAAGAAAAGTTGAGTGATTCAAGCTCCAGTGGTTCCTAATGTATTGACATTCTACGAAACTCTTTCTTCAATGTTTATTATTCCCACCTCCTAAAGTTGTGATGTTTCATTACACATTCAAAGATAAAATGCAGTAGTTGTAGTTTCATGACACTAATAATCTGATGTGAGAGTTTATATATAATAGCAAATAAATTGGACTTATAGAGCTAATAAAGAAGTGATATATATCCAAAATGTACTTTTGGCAGTAGTTCATAATAAACTCACAAAATGACAGATAAACTCAATATCTATAAATGATAGAAAATAATATTTTCTCCAAAGAAATTCTTAAGGAAAATATATACAAACTATTATCTATTTGTGTGATATTACTCTATTAGAAAAATCAAAATTTTATTTTCAATAACATAAACTTCTAATTACTTACATTAGAATTATTAACTATTTTTTACATCTCTTTCCAGTGATCAAGAAATAATTACATTAATATAAATATCCTTATCATAGAACTTATAAACTCTATTACAAATTGTCTCTTTCTACAAATGTCTTTCCGACTAGACAGTACTCTTTAATAGCTAAGTGCAGAGCTATCTCTTTTTCTAACTTTTAGGACTGTGTTTGACAGTGAGATGACACTCAATTGATACTTGTTGAACAAGTAAATGCAGTGGAGATATCTGTTTTAATGATAGCCATGCATGTCTGAATCTCACAGTCTGGCTGCTCTGCAACATTTGGTATCTCCTAGGCAATGAAGCCTAAAGGTAACAAGTTTCCTTCAGATATCCATTAAAAACGTCTTAGAATTTTCACTGGCTACCTTTAACCTGAATTTCACAAATTATTTTCTTTGGTGTCTTATATCTTGCTTTGTCTCAAAGTGAAGATGTAAAAACAGAACTCAAAAAGAAATCAATAAGATGTTTAGAGCTGAGATACTAAGAACCAAGATAGAGGATTTGGAAGTTAAGGACACAGAGGAATTACTAGATTTGAGTGACATTGCAAAAGAGAAAGTGACTGAACTAGGGAATTGATTTTCTGTTCAAAAAGAAATCAAAAGGTATCAAAGATTACCCTCAAGATGTGAAATTTAGAGAAAAGGAAGAAAATGGCATGCCTGTGATAAAGAGAAAGTTAGGTAGTAAAATGATTCAAAGAAAAAGCCAATAAGTTCTAGACATACTGAGTTTGAAGGGCACCATAGGGCATGAATTAGAAATGCCAGAGGCAATGGATATAAAAAGATATATAAAAGAAAAAGTCCACAGAAAAGGACATAAAATGGTTCTTAGATTTTACTCACATGTAATAAGAGAAATACAAGTGAAAACTATTTCAAGATATCATTTTCTTATCTTTCAAATAAGCAAAAATGTAAAAGTTTGAAAACTATGTGATAGTCAGGATGTGGAGAAAACATAATCTTCTTATATTGCTGCTAGAAGTATAAATTGGTACAACTTCTAAAGTCAGTGTGGTTCAACAGCATCTATCACATTGCAATTATATAAGGGTACTTCGAAAAGCTTGTGGAAAAATGGAATTAAAAGATAATGCAAATCTTTACATGAAACCTGTGAAGTACCCTCACATATATCTTTTGATCTAGTGTATAAGTTATTTATTGCTGAATAACAAATTACCCCAAAATTTAGCTGCTTAAAACAGCAAACATTAAGAGAGAAATTTTGGGTATGATGGTGTGAAGAGCTCCACAGACTCAGTCCCCAGTGAAACTGGTGAAAATTTTTTTAAAAACTACTTAAAGCCTCCGGAAATGGTCCCTAAGGCAAATAGCAAATGAGGAAACATCTACTCAAGAAAATCTACAAAAATTCAGTAAGAAAGGCAAGTGTCTGAAGTGTTAAATAAAAATGACAGTAAGCCATTGTTTTGGACTAAGTTCCCGTACTAAGCCCCAAAAGACCAGACTAAAACTCAAAATGGAGTCAACCCTTGCTATGGGTTAAGTATGTCCCCCAAAAGTTCGTGTACTGGAAACTTAATCTCTATTGTAACAGTTTTAAGAGGGTGGGAAACCCAATTATGGTATTTGAAAGGTAAGGCCTTTTAAGAGGTGATTAGATTGTGAGGGTTATGCCCTTGTGAATGGATTGCTCCATTCATGAAGTAATGGGTTGATGG